TCTCCCAGTTTCCATGGCCAACAGGGCTCCACTCATCCCAGGGCTACTGTGGCCAACCCATAGCCACCCAGCCCTGTGGTCGAAGGGCTCTCTGGTAAGCATGTTAAGCGGGTAATTGATTAATCATGTACTCTGATACAGAGGCAGCAAGGGGGATATGGGAGCGAGTAGTCAAGTAGTGACTTGACTACCCGCTATGCCTAGGTTTTATCGGGTAGTCAACTACTCGACTAGTCACTTACATCTCTCCTCTCCGGTCCAGCAATATCCATAGTCCGATGTTGCCGGACCAAAGTGTCACAGACAAGAGAGTTTCAACCTGTACTTTAAAAAAAAATATTAAAAAAAAAACCACTCTAAATTCAGCTGAAAACTTCAAGTAAAATAAAAAATATTGAGTATCTAGTGTAGTTAGTTTAGGACAATTAATTTTGGTTTCAAAATATTTAAGCCATGAGATTCAGTGCACTAGAAACTTTCCATTTTTGACATGTTCTTAGGACTTCGCAGCTGAATCTCCTGGTCAGCTGTAAAACACACATTTTGCTTAGGTAAAGTCAGTTGGAGAAAGTTCACTTACTGAACAGTGCACAGCAGGAGAACGATATGAGATTATATTGAAATGAGATAAATATAAATAACACTTCAAAATATTTATGAAGAGCACTTTGGCCTTGCAATGATGCAAGATGGCATCTACAGTAATACTGACTACACTGATAGTTCAGAGACAGGAAGAAGGAATAAGAAAATATATAGTTATCAAAAATAAACAAAACTTGAGACAGTTTCAGCAATTTTATCTTTGAGAATAGAAAGGTTCAAGTTTTAGAACAACAATGGTGCTTGTGCAGGTGATTATAGGTTCCCTACAATCTAACAAAGGAACATATCACATTACACTGGCTTTGAACCCTTGACACTCATTACACAAACAGAATTAGGGCACTTGAAGCTAGTTTCCAGGCAGTACCATTCCCACTGACCTCACTTTTATCTTTCCAAACTTCACTAATTCATATTGGACCTTCTGTCCTGCATGTGCCTGAACTCCTATGGCATGGGAAAGGAATGGTTGTGCATGACCCATTTTAAACTTATTTGTTCCATGTTTTTATTTATATCCGTTATGTTGATGCAATGGCACAAGCTTCACAGAAGGCCAGAGCAAAAAAGGTTAATTATCTCTACAGAGAATGAAATTTAATTGGCTTCAATCTACAATTCCTGCCAGAGTCATCAAGCTTGAAATAAGAGCCCATACAGCTTGAGTAAATTAACAGCAGATAACAAAAAGGAGAGAGAGAACAAGGCATGCCTCAGGAGGGCTCTTCTACCCTGAGGAAAGACATTCCCCTCCTTTCCCCTTTCAAGGCTCAGAGAAAACTACACTACACTATCTTCAATCCTCAAATCTTGCAATGAGGCGTGGGACAGCTTGCAGCCTCAGAGTCTCTGTTAACTACTTACTAAACTAGCTGCAGAGTCTCTGTTAACTACTTACTAAACTATCTGTTCAACTTGCATTTTGCTCTGATACTAGGAGTACCTTTCACACATCAGAAGAAAAGCTTGTGGCTCGAACACTTGTCCCTCCCCCCAGTAGAAGTTGGTCCAGTAAAAGATGCTGCCTCGACCATCTGGTGTAACATGCTGGGATGGACTCTACTATTATACTGCATACAGAATTACATAAAGCAGTAGACTTCAAACTGTGGAGGGAGGCCATGGAAGAACATTCATGGGGGGGAGGGGAATAGTGAAGCCTGGGTCAGCCCCCCCAGGAGTGGGAAGAGAGTGCCACCCAGTGCTGCTCTGCCCCCAGCTCCACTCCAATACCACCCCCAATCCCAGCCATGGCTCTACTTCTGGCCATTGCCCCAGCTGCATCACTGGCCCTGCTCCCAGCCATGACTCTGGTGATGCTCCCACCACCCAACTCAGGCCCCAGCTCCTAGGGTACATGACCAAAAAAGTTTGGGGGCCCTTGCCATAAAGCTGTTCTACAATCATTTCATGCAGAAGAGACAAAAGGATGTCAAAAGGAGTCCAGTATTTTAAATAAGCGTGATCTCTCACTTTAAAGAGTGATACTTTAGTCTAACTGACATGATCTACATCAGTGGTTCTCAACCTTTTTTATACCAGACAAGCGAACTTATTCAAAAACTATTGGCAATCCAGCACTGAAATACTTGCACATACATTATGATAATTCATTTATTTGCATATTTATTATAGTGATTTTAGCCCAACGTATATCAGGCAAATCAAAGGGGGTGGAGGGGTAAGAGACACGATGGTTAAAAAGAATTTTAAAAATAGTTGCTAATTTTTGTTTAAAAGCATTCTATAGTTCAAACCTTTTGCCTCATTCTATAGTTCAAACCTTTTGACTCTACCAGAATTAAAGAGGCAGTAGTTAACAGGTCTGACAGTGCTGACACATTCTGCTTATTCGTATTTTCCTGTGTACTTAATAATGCATAACAAGAACATGTGTGCATGCTAGATGGGAGCAGTTGGAGGTCAGGGAGAGGCTCCCACTGAGTGGGAAAGGAAGAGAATAGAGTCACAAGGGAAGCCGCCCATCATGGAGTGTTTCACTCCAGTGGCCCCGCTGGCTAGGGCAAGTAGCAGCTACTGGAGCTGGAACCGGGGGCCACAGTAAGGATGTCCTAGTATGGACAGCCCCATTGGGGTCCCAGCTGCCCAGCTACCCTGCTGCTGTATGGGGAAGTGGGCAGGAAAGGAGTTCCCTGGGAACTCAGTGCACAAGGTTAAATAAAAGCCAGGGTATGGCCTAGCAAATGTGCTGCAACCCAGCAGACGGGGTGGCCACAGACTGCAGTTGGGAACCGCTGATTTACATTATCTCAAACCAATAATAAAGCTCTAAAATAACTGGATTATTCCACTCAATAGCCAGTACAGTCCAACATGAATGAAGAAAAAGAGACAAAGCCCAGGATCTACTAATACCAGAGAAACAATTTGCCACCTATTAGGTAAAAAACTTAACCTATTTCAAGGACCCATATATAGGGTGTTTTGTTTTTTAAACACACACACTTTCTGGGAACAGAGCCTGTGTAAAGTCAGTCAAAAATAGCTAAATGAAAAAAGAGAAAAGCAATGTACTCATTTGTAACAGAAAGCTATCAATAATGTCTGCTAATAGAGACAATAATTGAAGAACAGTGATTTTCAACAGACTGTAGAGGAAACAAAAGACTGATTTTCACATTTAGTATCCGGACATCAAACTGTAGTTGTGCTCTCAATTACTCTTATATTTCAGTTAAGACAAAACACTGTTTTCACAACTTTGAATGCAATTGGTTTCTCATCATGAAAAGATGTGCCTTTTAAATTTTTGGTAAAGTTTTTAATATAGGAGGTCTTCTTAATACAGCTTGTTTAAAAGTTAACGCTACAATGATTCCCACAATAGGCAAAAGTACTTATTGTAGCTGTTATAATACATGCAACTGTTTGAAAAAAAAAAATGCAACTGTTTGAAAAAAAAAGAAAAAAAAGGACACCTTAATTTCAAGATGCCATGACAATTTTGTTGATAGTGTTCTCCAACAATCATCAGAGGTTAAGCATAGTAACAAAGGGACAGTATCAAACAAATCACGTGAACAGACAAATCTGTAATCTGTCAATTCACAGAGGAAAAAACAAACAGTTGAAACAAAACCAAACCAACCATAACACCACCTTTGGCCACAAAGAAGGGTCATTTTAACTAAATAATTTCCACTATTTTCTTGTAGTTGACACAAGGGATGATAAAAAGCGGGGGATGAGGAGCTTGTAAATATGTAACCATTGAATAGTTGCATGCTAGTAGTTTTCCTACACTTTAGATGGAAAATATTGGAGTCAGAATCTCATTAGATTGCAGGCTCCTCAGGACAAAGACTCATTTATCTAAGCATAAGAACAGCTAAATTTTAGGTTCAGCTCCACAACTCAGTCACTCTCTATGTAGTCTTCAAAAAAGGTCACTTGAATATGCCATTCTCCCAGTTTTCTCATCTGTAACTGAAGGATAATACTGACTGACCTACTTCAATGTCAGTTTTTATGTATTACTTTGAAAACAGAGCACTTAAGACAATATGTATTTGTTTGCACATGTCATCCCAAATACATGCTTGTGGGTGTGTATCTTTCAAAAGAGGCTTGCATTCTAGATGTAGCCTTACTGACCTGAACCTCAACATAACACCACTAAGCACAACAAAACTGAAAACTAGAAACTATAGCATTATAATAAATCTTTATTCCCATGTCCTTATCATGAGTGCATAACAACAATTTTGGTTTAGTACAAAACACCATATAGACAAGAATTAGATGTTCCATTTTCCCCATAAAACTCTAGATAAGATACAATGTTTTTCCTCAGGACAAAAACAGTACAAAGATTCAAGACAAACTTATCAGAAAACTTTTCGTAGGAAGCTTTTTAAAACAGGTTCACACACACTTAAATCCCAACAAATAATCCAGGCAGAATTGCCAAGAAACCTGTCTGCAAATTTATATTAGTTGCTCTTCTTGTTCAAAGTGTAAGCAATTAATTTGCTCAGATTTCAATTTTCCTTAACCAGTTTTATTTCCATGTTATAGCAACCAGTTATATGCTACAACTATGTATAGCAGTAGACTACAAATATTTACAGTTTTTAAAAACACAGAGCACTACATAATTAAACATGGATCTGTGAAAAAAATACACTAAAAATCAAAAATACATATTTTAGCATGGTTTTAAGCAAAATATAGACTACTATGAAATTAAAACTGTACTTTTATTGCTTGTTTGAGACCAGTTCTCAAGGCAGCATGATCAGAAATTGCATGCCACTTTCAACAGAATTAGGTCCTTTAGTTTGCTGCCAAGTGACCTTTACAAATGTTGCTGATGTGCACACCAAATGCCATGATACAAAATGGTATAGTAAAAAAAAGTCACAAGTCCTTACCTGTAAATCTGTCTTCAGCCATTTGGAATCAAACCTAGTCTGAGCAGACAGACAAAAAGGTTCAGAAGACATTTTCCTTCTTCAAAGCTCTCCAGGCTGGCAGAGGGGGCCAGATCTGTCGGGGGGGGGAGGGGGGGAGAAACATCTAGTAGATAACCTTGCATAGCTTCTTATTTTATCCTGGTAATACCAGAATGAGTCACATTTCCTCCAAAATTGTATTTACATGAATATCAATCTAACTCTCTCACATGTAAGCAGACACCCTAACAATGTACAAAGAAAAAAAGAAAAAGTGTTCACCGTTATTCAAGCCACAAGCCTTCCCTTCCTCCACCCACGATGGTGAACACATCCCAATGCACCGAAGGTCATCATCAGAGGCCTGGGTTGCTGCTTTTACCCCTCAGCCCCGTAAATGGTGCATGAAATAAATAATTGATCCAGATTATGCAAGTAGCAGGCGAACCCAAGTGCTATTACCATTTTTACACAGAGGGATGAACCGGGGGGGAGGGGGGAGGGGGGAGGAAGAGTCCTAGACCGCTCCTCTCCAAAAGCAGTAGGCTATTCCCCTCACCTCCCACTTGAAGCACATTCCAGGGCCATTGTCACCATGTCTTACATGCCCGCTCTGAGGGACGCGGCCCACGGGCTGCCAGCCGGGGATCTGGCCTCAGACCGCTTCACGAAAGCGCCGCGCTCCTCAAAACGGTTTCTATGCAGCGGCCTCACCGCTACCCCCAGGTCTGCGCCGGGTCCCTTCGCCCCACCCCCCTTCCAACGCCCCCAGGCCCGGGCCCGGCCACCTGCCTCCTCCCGGCCCCATTAAACCGGGACAGCCCCCCACGACCTCCGCGCCGGCCCCC